GGAGGGGCGGGAAGCTTCCACCCTCTTTGCACACACCACACTCCTCAAATGTCCACGAGTTCCTACCAACCCCAAAGCTCTCCAATCCCTGTTCTTTTGGGTTTTTAAGGAGGCTTATGACAAAGGCATGATTGATTAAATCATTGACCATTGGCGTTTGAACTCAGACCTCCAGCTCTGTCCCAGGAGGTCTAGGGGGAAGGGAACTGAAAGTTCCAGCCCTCTAATTACAAGGTCAGTTACCTTAGCAACCAGCCCCCCATCCCTAGGTGCTTTCCAAAGATGTCTCATTAACAACCTAAGATAACTTATCCCTCTCATCATTTAGGACATTTCAAGGATTTCAGGAGCTCTGGGCCAGAAATAGGGACAAAGACCAGATATACTTATCTTTATTATGAATCACAATAGCGTGTTGACAATATGTGGATCCCAGGTTCCTCAACTACTGCAAATATGCCTGTGGCATTTATCAGGAATAGGGCAGAAAAAGTCACTCCCACCTGAATCCTGGAAAATAGTGAAAAAGGGAAATCAAATCCAGGGAAGTAGTATTGATTCTAGAAAGAATATAGTGGGACTGGAGCAGTCCAGAAAGCATTACATGAGCCATGGGGTTTAAAGTGATTAAGCTGTAAAGAAATGGACTCTCGTCTTTTCATCTTAAATCATCCTTCATCTCAAACCTCAAGGTATTGCATTTCATTTTGTCTGAGTCTGGCTTATTGCTAATAAATTTAATTCTCATCTCCAAATTCTTGAGTCATCATTATTCTGACACGAATCCCTCTATTTCTTTTTCTTTTATTGCTAGAGGTTAAATCATGGCCCTTTGCTCAAAAACAGCAAGAACTTTTGCTGTCTAATGAAGCTGTGAGGGAAGGACCTTCTAGAACTGGCCTGTTTCATAAGAGAATCCATTCCCTACATAATTTCTTTGTAATGATATGAATTGTATAATGTATTTTATTATTTTTGTATTGGAAATTCTTATTTTAAAAAACTATCAAGGAAGAGTGATTTTGAGTATATATATTTGTATTATATTCCTCTATAACATGATCAAATTTTAAAATACCCCTTAAGAGCAAAAATAGTAATGAAATTTCTGAGGACGTGTTGAATGACTATTGATTAAAGTGTATAATTTTGTGCATGTACATATATGTTTGTATATATGTATACACACACAATAATCTATTGCTTCTTGGTGTAGGAAGGACATTTCACTAAGTTCCATGTGATACGAATACGCCCTAGGAGTTGGTTTAGGCTTCATCCATCTGAATGGCATTTCCTTCTTTACACAGCTGGTTGGTGGTTTGAGCTCAACCTCCAATGTCTGGCAGGAAGCATTCCTTTTTTAGAGAGAGAGAGAAAGAGAGAGAGAGAAAGTGCATGAGTGGAGTGAAGGTGGAGCAGAGGGAGAGGGAGAACGAATCCTAAGTAGGCCCCATGCCCAGCGCAGAGTCCCACTCGGGTCTCAATCTCACAACGCTGAGATCATGACTTAAGCAGAAACCGAGAGTCAGATGCTTAACTGACTGAGTCACCCAGGTGCCCCAGGAGGCATTTGTGAAAAAGAAAAGGTGTGTCACGTCTGGAACCACATTGTTTTCTACTCAACTTTTCCTGTTGACAATGATAGGAACAGATGTAGCTATGTAGGATGAGAGCCAGCTGCTTCTAGATTGGCCCAGTCCTCTGCTGGGCTTTGGAGGGTAGCTCGACAAATGAGCAGAGCTCTGGAGCCTCACTGCTGGGTTTATAGTCTAGGCTTCTCCACTTAACTGGCAGTTTTCTGGGCAAGCAACTTAACCCTTCTATGCCTCAGTTTCCTTTTCTGTAAATAGGTATCATAATAATAGCTACCTTTTAGAGTTTTCTGTGATGATTAAATAAGTACATGTAAAACATATAAAAACATACATAGTAAATATCTAATAAATTGATTGGTAGGAGTAGTATAACCATCACTATTCAGCAGTATAAATCGCATAATACAACCAATTGGTTATCATAAATCATCTGTTTAATGCCTTACATAGAGATGCCAATACTTGGTGTTCTTCTGATTCTGTATCAGTGTTCTTAATTATCAGAGTTTTACATGTCACCCATGTTTCAGTGACTTCCACATCTTTGCAGTTCTGGACTCTAGCTCTGTGCTACACAGAACCCTATTCCTATGTGTTTACCAGAATCTTCACCTTGATGTCCTGTGGGCACCTCAAATTAAATAAGTCCCACATTGAACTTAGTTTTCCAACCCCTCTGATCCTTACTGCCACACTAAAAAAAAAAAAAAAAAAGTTAAAACTTCTCTTCTTCCTGATTTCCTTATTTTGCTTATAGTGCCCTGGGTTGAATATTATGCACCTAACCCCTCCCCATCCGTGTCTATCTGGAATCTCAGAATGTGAACTCATTTGGAAGTGGGTCTTTGCGGATGTAATTAAAAGTTAAAATGAGAAATGAGAGTATACTGGATTAGGGTGAACTCTAAAGCCAGTAATTGGTGTCCTCATAAGAAGCCACGTAAAGACAGAGGCAAATGCACTGTAACCATTGCTGTCAAATACCAGAAGCTAGGAGAGGGAGCACAGAACAGATTCTCCCTTAGAGCTTCCAGAAAGAACCAACTCTGCCAGTACCTGGCCTTCAGACCCCCCATATAGTGACAGAATGAAGTTTTGTTGGTTTAAGCCTTTTGGTTTGTGGTAATTTGTTATGGCGACCCTAGGAAACTACTGCAAATATCATTAATATTATCATACCTAGAAGTCTTAGAACTATCCTTACCTGTATTAGTTTATAAGGATGCCAGGCCTATTGGAGGAAGGACCCACCCTACTCTATCATGACCTTGCCTTAACACATTACCTCTGCAGCAGCCCAATTTCCAAATAAGGCCGTATACTGAAATACCAGAGGTTAGGACTTGAACATATCCTTTTTGAGAGGACACAGTACAACCTATAGCACTACCCCTTTTTTCTATCACCACTCTAAATTGATCGCCTTCCAGGAATATGTTCTACTGCAGCAAAATCTTTGAGATGTAGCTCACACTGACCCCAACTTCAGCTCCCCGGGTTATGGCACAGTCCTCTCTCTCTGTAGGATTCTTATTGCAGTAACCTCCAAAGTGATTTTCCTCCTCTGTTTCATTCTTCATATATCCAGTGAGTGAATCTAGTTAATTTCTAATCAAATTTCTCTGATGGTGACCCACCAGTGGCTTTCCCCAACTAAAACATTGAAGTCTACACTAGCACAGGGAGCTCCAAGTTTGGCCCCCATCTTTTCTTTCCAACCACCTCTCTTGCCACTTCGGACTATGTGTCCCAAACCACAACTGGGCTAGCTGGTCACTCTTTCTGGAAAATAGATTTTTAGGTCTGTGGGCCTTTGCTTATGCTGTTCCCTATGCCCAGAACATCCTTTACCACTTCGGGCCCCTGCTGAACTGTTCCTCATCCCATAAAGCTCAGCTGAAACAGTACTTAAACAGGTTGCTTCCACAATTGTATCACAGAATTATTGAACCCTTACCTGTGTTTCTGACATCTTATGTTTCTGGATACTAACGTAACACCAGGAAAGATATTGCACCTCTTATATAATAACAATTAACTTTGACAATAGAAATAGCCCCCATTGCAACATAAATAAAAAAAATGTTTGTGTATGCTTCTCTGTGTGTGTCTAGATTTCTATCTACAAGATTTTTTTAAAAATCTGACATGTGTTTACTGCTTATGTATTTTGTTGCAACCCACCTCAACAAAATACTCTTTTTTTAAAGATTTATTTTAGAGTAGGAGGAGGGACAGAGGGAGATGGAGAGAGAAGATCTCAGACACCTTGCTGAGTGTGGAGCCTGGTGCGGGGCTCGATCTCATGAGCCTGAGATCACAACCTGAGCCAAAATTAAGAGTCAGATGTTTACCCGGTTGAGCCAGCCAGGTGCCCCCCAAATATTTGTAAACCTCTCTAGAAGAGTAAAGATATTTATTTTCTGCAATTAGAAAATATATAAGGGTGTCTGGGTGGCTCAGTGGTTGAGCATCTGCCTTTGGCTCAGGTAGTGATCCCTGGGTCCTGGGATTGAGTCCCACATCGAGCTCCCTGTGGCGGAGGCCTTCTTCTCCCTCTGCCTATGTCTCTGCCTCTCTGTGTCTCTCATGAATAAATAAATGAAATCATTAAAAAAGAAAATATATATACACAAATATACATACCATATATATTATATATGCAGTATATGTGTGTATATATCAATACATATATATACACATATGTGTAAAGTACATATATAAAGTATTTTACCTCAGGAGCATCCTGTGAATGATTCATTGCTCTTTTCATTGTTAGGTTAAAGAAACAGCAACCAAGCAATCAGTGTGACTAGCAGTTCAGATTTTAATAACTGAGTTCTTAAGAAAGCACTTAGGGGGAGTTATCGCTGTAATAATGCATAACAAACACACCTTCGACCCCAAATTTCACTGGTTCTCAACAATAGACATTTATTTTTCTTGTCTGTGGGCTTACTCCACCTGTGCTATTTTGGGACCAGCAACACCTTGGGAGCCATATTCTTCTCATGGCAATGACAGAGGCACAGCAGCCTAGGCCAGGTCATGCCTGGACATTAGAGCCTCTGTTCGTGGTACATCTGCTAGCATTACATAGGCCAAAGCCAGTCATATGTTCCCATATCAAGGGAACAGGAAAGTAGACTCCGTGGGAGGGTCTGCAAAGTCAAATGGCAAAAGCCATAGGTGTATAATTCTAATAGAGGGATAAAGAAGTGAGCATAAGAACTCAGTCTACCACAAAGTCCCTATGATTCGAAGGTGGACAGTAGAAATGCCTGCCTTGAGAATAAGCTATTTATCATGAGCTTATATAACAATAACAGTTCGATGTTGCATTTACAGAACTGCACTTTGAAATGTGGTTATAATTTATATCCATCTTTGGTTTTTTTGTAGAGATGTGAAGATGAGTGGCTCGGGATGCCATCACCTATTCCTGTGAAATACATTAACTACATGAGACTTTTAAAGGATGTGTTCGGCTTAGAGGAGGAGTAACCATATGTCAATTTTGGTCAACTTTCTTTGATTTCCTGCTCTAATTTTACTAGGTTTATTTCAGTAGATATAACTTCATTAAAAAAAACACAGGGTTCATATTGAATTGAAATCCATAGACCCAAGTTAATTCCCTTTTGTCGTTTTAGTTTCTCTGAACATCGTATTACAGTGCTGATGTGCCAGCATTATTAAAAATGCCATTTAAAGAAATGTCAAACATTTTTATTACATGTATGATTTATTAACACCAAAGAATCTTATGGTAATTTTCTATCCAACATAATTTGATTCATTACAACACAAAAGGAAAATTACTTTTGACAGCTATACATGACAATATAAAATCAAATTATATCTGAGCAATAAGTTGTGATTCTATTAAACATTTTTTGAAATCTTTTTGACACATGTTTATTACTTATATAATTAAATTTTGTAGCAACCCACCTTATCAAAATAATTCTTAAACCTCTCTAGAGTGAATGTATTTGTTTTCTGAAATTAGCAAAGCTATGAGAAGGACTCCTCCCTTGCCCCACAACACACACACACACACACACACACACACACACACACACACTTTGGGAGAGAAATTGAAACATATGCAGTGTTTATATTTTAATGTCCTTTTTCTACCTAAAGTTAGGTGTTAACTTAGGGATATATATGCATGTATATATAATTATAGTATGACCAAAAATGTGTGATGTCTAAAATATTTAGGGATGGGAACGCTGAAGATTTTGAGAGCTCTTTTTTTTGGTTCATTCTCCACATACACATACCACCCACCCCAGAGGTTTAAATATTCTAGGACTATAACATGTTTTCTTCCTGCTTTTCTCTGGTTCTATTTTGATTTTTCTTGTAGGCCTATATGTTATGAATCTCAGCAGAACCTTTGTCATGTAGTGTATATTTGATTAAAACTCATAACCATGGACCTCTGGGAATTCATTGTGAGAAGTTTGTCCCAATCTACCTCAGTCTCCAGTGTTAGATGCTATGTATCATAAATCCATTTGCCTGGTGTTCTTAGTGATGGTGGAAGCTTATGGAAAAGGGGGTTCAACATCCACCTTTTGGGGACTGCTTTGATGAGGGAAAAAGGAACTGATGACATGTCAAGGCCCCTTCCACCTCATTATTCCTTCACTGCACATTTGTGGCATCTTGCCTAGAAATGAACAGGCCTCTTGGCACTCAGAGGTACCAATATGGTTGACAACAATGGCTCTTTCTTTTAAAAAAATTTTTTTAATTGAAGCTAATCAATAAACTATTTCTATTTCTATTATTTCTAATTATAAACCTCGGGCAATTCTACATGTGTCATTGTTAGAATAGAGCCCATAGGACTTTCCAATAAACTCGAATACTCAACTTATATACTAGGACCATTTACCCATAAAATCTAATTTTGACTATTTGATTTTTATTCCAGGTTTTTTTTTTTTTTTTAAAGACAACTGGCAGTGCCAAGCCATTTTGTTACTTTAAGATTTTTCGTTCCCCAGAGAGCAAGCTTTTAAGGATGACACTTTCCTGGAACTTTTCAGGCTGACACATTTGTCACTTACCTATTCAACTCTTCAGTCAGTTGTCTTTAACTCAAGATTTTAAATACGTGGATAATTTAGCCCGTTTACAGGCTTGTGATGCAGTTCACTTTGAGAAGTGGGAAGAGAAGAGGAAAAGCAGCAAGCCAATGACATGTTCCTGAGTTTGTAGGATGACAACCGCTTGTTCTATCACATAGATGTGTGTCGCTGCCCTGGTTATTTGCAGTTCAAGCCCGTAATTAGCAATTAAATGGCCATTATAGGAATCATGCCGATAAACATGATGCATTGCAGCCATACAGACACTTTAAATAATTATTTTTTTATAACTCAACCATATACTGAAGGAGATTTATAATTTAGAGATAATATCCCCATTAGTAAAGTTTATGACCCAATAAACAGCTCCCACTAGTTAATAAATGCCAAAGCCATAAAAACAAAGACTATTAATGTAATAGAATTTCTGTACCTCCCTCTTTTGCTGGTGGTCCCAAGTCACTGAAGGGAAATGCTATCTTAGGGAAAACATTTATTCTCGTTATGTAAATATCAATGAATTGTCTTAGAATCCATCTGGAAATCTCCCAGGCCACCCCACTCCTAGGCCCCAGGTGGTTCCCAAATGCTGATGTGTTCTGCTTAGGTTTTGGGCAGTAGATAACTCTGGTTTTCAGCACAAATGAACCCTTTGGGGGAGGTAGTGAAGACCAGCTGGAATTTCTGCCTCTTCATTTTCCCTCTGAAAAGGAGAAATCCCAACTATTACCATTATTCTGGAGGGAGAACTTTGAAAAGTTTCCCACTTTTGGCATACACTTATATTTTTAGCTGCCTCTTCTTTTCCCTGTGAAAAAGCGAAATCCCAACTATTGTCATTGTTCTAGGGTAATCATTTTTTTAAAAGTTTCACAACCTTTGCATCTACTTATATTTTTAGCTGCTCACATTTTCTCACTCTGATGGAAAAGCAAGTGCTGCCTGTGGATGTCTGGGTAAGTTGAAGATTAATACAGGCAACCCTTTTGTATTAAGAACGAACTGTTTTTTCATATTCCTGCAACCGTGGGAATGATTGATCAAGTCATTTGAGAGCCCAGATCACATCGTGTCTTTTCAGAAGAAACTGATTAAAAGCGGTTGAGGTTGGCATGAGATGGTTTGCTGAGTCATTGTTACAAAGCATGGGTGTTGTCAGCAGGTGACTACTACATTTCAGTGTTTATTTGCCTCTTTCTCCCTTTTGGGGGAAAGATTTTATATATTTATTTGAGAGAGAGCATGAGCAGGGGGAGAGGGAGAAGCAGGCTCCCTGCTGAGTGCAGAGCCCTGACAGGGGGGCTCAATCCCAAGAACATGAGATCATGACCTGAGCTTGACCAACTGAGCCACCCACGTGCCCCTTTTTCTCCCTTTTTTTTTTTTTTTATGATAGTCACACAGAGAGAGGGAGAAGCAGGCTCCATGCACTGGGAGCCTGACATGGGATTTGATTCCGGGTCTCCAGGATCGTGCCCTGGGCCAAAGGCAGGCGCCAAACCGCTGCGCCACCCAGGGATCCCTCTTTCTCCCTTTTTAACCTGTTTACCATTTGAACCCAACCCCTTGAAAAGTAATGTGGGTACATCTATTGGTTGACTTCAGTGCTTACTAAAATTGTAGACAGCAGAGAGGAGATGAAGAGCACTGTAAATTTCAAGCATTTGGGATAGTTTTAACATTTTGCCTACTTTGTGTATTGCCTCTGATTCAATTAATGACAAACATACCATTCTTGGTCTTTGCTTTTTTTATGCTATGTTATTTGGAGTTTGTTTTGCGGGCGTGGGGTGGGGTGGTGGGGGTGGGGGGTGTTGTAGAGCTGTGAGGCTTTGTGGACACCACCACGGTGAGTTTGGGATATTTAAATTGTCCTTCCTTTCAAATAGGGAATTATTGATGAAGAGGATGAAATTTCTCCCCTCCCCCTACAAAGACAACTCTTGCCTTTCCAACGTGGATTTATTTATCTTGAGTGGGGACTGCTTTAGTCTTTGCCACTCGTTCCTCATTTCCCTGTCCTCTTCTCCCATGTGTTACGATTTTGCTCTTAAGTTCGGCAGTGGGAGTCTTCGGTGATGGCTTGATGAAATGGTAGGGTTGTCCACAAAATATTTATGACGCTTAATAATGCAGACTCTGTTGAATAATGGACTGTCACGTTCCCAATTACATGTACATTCTTTTTAGTTAGGAATATAGTTTCCTGAGTTTTGACTATTCTTCAGAATTGGTCTGGAACTGACCTTCGAGACAAACAGTTTCCAAATGATGGTAAACATTACCCAAGTGCTGAGTCTCTGTCCTGATCCATGTTTGGGCCAAGTTTGAACCGCTTCTGAGTTGAAGGCAGGTTAAGACCTTTTCAGAAATGAGGCTTTTCAAGTTGACTGAGCATCTGCAGCGACATGGTGTTTCTCAGTTCCCAAGAGAACGTAATGTGTCAGAATGGAAAATCCACCAAGGTGAGATCAATGAGGCTATTTCACAAAACAAAACCTGCCCTGATCATGAAGCAAAACGTCACAATTACAAAAGGTAGTGCTGACTGGATAAAGAGCTAGAGAGAAATCAGTAGTCGCCTCCATTCACCTTCTCTACCAGGTTCTATAAAATTAAACGTTTCCACTCAAGTCAACTAAGTTCCTGACAACCATGGGTTCTGAGGTTAGGATGTGCATCTTCTTTGCATTTGGTACCCAGCAAAATTCCTTCTAAGAGGGACTTGCGTGCCTGTTATGTGCCTAGTGCGGGAGCATAGGCACTAAGGGTCAGCACCGCTGCTCAGAAGTAACTGGTGATGGCTGAAAAATGCAGCCAATGCAAAACTCCACGGTGGCTCAGCAAGTAGAGAATTAATGACTGACTGGAATCAGTAGGAGCCTTTACTTCTAAATACTCATTAGTTTAAGCAGTGAGGCCTGATGTTCTGCAAGTTAGACAGGAAACAGGGGGCCCGCTCCTCCCCATTGTCTCTTCTGAACAGAATATGCACATTTAACTCGAAGTAGTGAATGGTTCAAATACATCAAACCAACTATTCATCAATCTCCCAGCTTCCTGGGCACCGCTTTGCATCTGTGTAAAGCCAACAATGGAGGAAATGCTTGTTATGACCCCACTATAATATTAAAATCCAGAGGGGCGGGGAGCGTGGTGAAAAACACAAAATGTGGCCTCCTTTAGAATAGTTCCACCGAAATCATCTTTGTTTCCTTTTTATACTTTGCCTATACGAGAATATCTGAATGAAATAGGAACTTGGTAAATTTACTTTTGCCTGCTTCCCCCCCCCCCCTCACTTGCTACCACTGCTCTTCATTGTTGCTGTGAGGCTGCTCATTGAATACGGAACAGGAGCTGAAAAGCCATTTCAGGCTGCTGCAGATTGTCCACCCTCCCTCCCCACTACCCCCCACCCCCCCACCTCCACCCCATTTTAACTATGACTGGAGCATGGATAGTGACAAGGGAAATGGCAAGAGGTGTGACAATTGCAGAGGGGACTCTGGACAAGAATAGAGACTCCTTTTGTGTGTGTAATACACGTTATAAAACAGTTTGAACTTGATCCTAAAGGCATGAGAAGTTACTGGAAGATTTTAATCAGGAGGATGAAAAGATGATGTCTGTATTTAAAAAGCTCTGGTGGCTCTGTGTGTATGTGTGTGTGTGTGTGTGTGTGTGTGTGTGTGTGAGAGAGAGAGAGAGAGAGAGAGAACTACAAGAGCGAGTTTGGCAGCCAGAAGGCTGACTGGGGAAGCTATTGCCAGAGAAGTGATGGATGGTTTGGATTAGTGTCAGTGAGGTGGTGAGGTTGGTGAGAAGGGGATAGACTCATGACACATTAAGGATGTTGGAGATGAAAGAGAAGAAATCCAAATTACATGGGGTCATTTTGACAGCTGGGGAAGTGGTGGTGTCATCTGTTGTGCCAGGATACACCAGGGAAAAATCCAATTTGCAGAGGAGGTATCAACAGTTCAGCCTCGGGCATGCCAGTTTAGGTGGAAATGTGGATCAGGCAATCGGATTGACCGGTCCGAATCGTAGCAAAATGGTCTGGGCTGGAGAGGCCTGTTTTAAACCCATCAGAGTATGGATGGTAAATGTAAACTTAGAGAAGATTGCCCAGAGGGAGCAAGTTGTCTGAAAACCATAATGCTTGGCATACGACTAATTTTTAGAATACAGCTTTCATTGACACACAGTGAACTGCACGTATTAAAAGTGTACAGTTTGATAATTGGACATATGTGTACACCTGTGAAATAGCATCCCAGTCAAGATAATTCATATATTCTCCCAAAATTTCTTTGAGGT